AAATCCCTCTAATTTGTCTCTAAAATATTTCCCAATCGAAAGATTGCAAGGGGAGAATAGAAACTGCGGGATTGGTTTTACTGCAGCTTATACCAAAACAAAGAATCTAGAGATTTTAAAAAAAGAGCTAACAACTGGGCACTTCCATCTAAAACATCTCAGGAAAATAATCTTTAGGAAATCTATCTATCTATCTATCTATCTATCTATCTATCTATCTATCTATCTATCTATCTATCTATCTATCTATCTATCTATCTATCATCCACCTTTATCTTATGTTTATATCTATCTATCTACCTATCTATATTCCATCTTTCTCTCATCTATCTATCTATCTATCTATCTATCTATCTATCTATCTATCTATCTATCTATCATCTATCTACCTACCTACCTAATTTTAAAACTGTTCATCTCCCTCACAGATACAGCATGCTCAAATCATGCTACTCGAAGGGCAAAACCTCCAGATTGTGTGTTCACGGACCTTTATTCTTCCCTGCCTTTGGGTATCTTTAAAAAAATAATTAATAATTGTGCATAAACCACTATTGCCAAAGCAGCCAGGTGGGTCTCTGCCGAGGGCCTTCCTCCTCCTGAAGCCACGTTCTCCTACTCGGCCCAACCCACCTGAGGGAATGGGAGTGGATGTTTTATTCCAAAGAGGCAAAAACATGGTGGCACAATAGGCTAATGCAAAATGGCGGCCCAGAAAACGCCTCTGCCAGTAGGGATCAAATTGCAGGCGAGCGCCTGGAGGGCCAGGAGGCTTCTGTGTTTCTACAGCCTGGGCACACGCGTGTGTTTAAAGGGGTGGGGAAGGAGCTAAGTATCTGCACTAACCTCCAATTAAAGTCAATCATAAAAACAGCCTATTTAATGAGTGCAGATTTCTTTGGGTAATTATAACGCCAACCACTTTTTCCCTCTTTTAAATCTGTAATTCTGTCTCCTTGTTATTGCTTGCTTTGTCATTAATTGCCTCAGGACCTTGATTTCCTAGCAACAGACTCTGCCACCAAGCAGTTGGCTCCGGTTCAACATTTCCTTTGTGAAAATCACATGGCGGTTCCTGGGCAGAGCAACCAGACTTTGCTGCAAATGCTCTAATCGGGGCTGTCTTTTCTCGGGAGCCAAAGGAAATTTAGCTGCACTTTCAAGGCTGTAGGGATGGAAGGAAAAAAACAAGAAGCATCTGGTGATTTCTCAAGACACGATCAATAGCGCCAGTGGGCGTTTCAAGCTAAGGAGGCCATTTCAACATTTGATAAAAATAAATAAATCCCAGCTCACCAGAGATCAAAATGGGTTCTGCTCCACCTCCAGGGCAGGATTCTTGAATGTGATTGGGATCGGTTGCCCTTAATTGCTTCTCTTGTTTTGTTTAGTTTTTAAGGTCCCAAAGGTGTATTTTATTTTATTTTTAATTCCTTGTTTTCAAGTTTCATGAAATTGTCTATTGCCAAAGTCACTTTTGTGAATTGGACAGCCTTATCAATCTAATACAACAAATAAATATATTTTAGAAGGATGCATGGGCTGTACGCCTGGTGACAAAGGGACTCTAGTAATGTGAGGAATCCGATTAATGTACAGAAAAGTAGATGAAGATGCTTATTATGTTATTCTTAGGCATCAGCATGAAGAGAGCGCAAACATGTCCACAAAGGGACCGAAAGAAAAGCCATTATCAGAGAAAGAAAATGGCCGACGATGTTCCCCAAGATCTAAAGAGTCAGAGGAGGTGCTGGTCTTTTGTAAACTTCTTAAGATTCATATAGTGTTCAATTAAATTCTAAGCTGTTAATCCAGCAGCAATCTCTGAATGACCTCATTACTGGAAGCCGGCTGCATCACAAAAGTAAGACACGACTGGGGGAAAAAAGCGCAACAAGGCTTATCAGCAAGAGATATTAAGCATAATTACTTTTAGTTGAGTGAGCAAGACCTCAGGGGTCCTCCTGTCCCATCCCAGGACCCTCATCCTGACTTGCCCACCCCAGAACAAGCAACGGGGTGAAGGTGTGGAGTCAGGTACATTTCCACGTTCTACTGTTTTGTGTAACCCTTGCAAGCAATTTACTTGATGGATTGTAAAGGGACGCTTTTAGTCGTATGCAAGAATCAACAACAGCTGTGCAAAAATTTAGAGCTGTACAAAACACCAGTCTGGAGGAACATTAACCCTAGCTGAAGAAAATAACATTTTTAATGAATTTGTTCCTCTTGGATAATCTTTTCTTTCTTTTTCATATTTCTCGCCAGCTGTTCCTGCAGACCTCAGGTAATATGATGGCAGCAACGGTTATTAATACATGACACTCGTGTTATTTGTTTCTATCTGTCAGAATTGCCTTCTACAATTTGGATCTGAGCACGCACGAGTGGGAAAGACCAGCCGTTGCGTAGTTTAACCCTTCTCAGGGAAGGAGCTGACTAAATCCTTCCCAACATGTCATCACCCATCACTCCACTCTCAACGGGAATCCATCGTTGCAAAAATAATTTTACTGCTCGGTAGCTCTGAGCATCAAGGAACTCTTCATAGCATTCCGCCTGAATCACCTTTGTTTTGACTTCAGCAGCCCCCTCGTTGTTCTCCTCCTTTTGGCCGGAGACGAACACCGGAGGTATTCATGGGGCAAGAGGGTCAAGAAAGCCATGATATACCCATGAGCACGTGTTCAAAGTTCTGCACCTTTTTTACATGCATTGCACGCACAATAGAAGTGAAAATGTGAGGTGCTTCTACTGCCTTCTTAGGGGCACCATATGGACTTTTTGACACAAACGCCCAGGCTTCTGGTCTGAGCTCCTTGCGTCTCACAATCTTTGTACATACTATCCTGTACAGTGATGTCTTTACAACTTAGCACTTCTCTACTTAGGCCTGCTGCTGTCCCCCAAGCCTGACTTGCAGTAGGTGATACAGACCACATCTAGGATTCCATCTTTCTCTTGATAACTCCATTATAGCCAGTTTATTTTTCTGCTTTGAGCATCAGTGAGGAAGATGAATGAAAACACTCTTTATGCCTCCAGCTTCTTCACCTTCACCTGGTAACACTCTGACCTATTTGCTCTGTCCTAACAATGCCATTCGTCTCCAGATGGACAGAAGCAATCAGTCAGTCAGGTGAACTTGTGAAATCTTTATCCTCCCAAGTTCCGGCTATCCACACCAGACTTGTTTTCTTTACTTTTTTGGATCTTTGCAGAATTCTTTAAGTTCTGGATCTATTATAGAAATTATGGGATAAATGAATTATCTCAGGCGAGCTCATTTTTCAGAGCTTCATGGACTTTCTCTTAGTGTTTACTCTTTCTTGCCCCAGGCCTTTAAATAGTCATTCTTCTCTTCTTTCTCCTCTGGGTTCTCCTTCCTGTCTCCTTTGCTCTTGAATATCCTGGGATCTCCTCGTTTGGGGAGGTCTCATCCCAGCCTCTTTCATGCAGAATGTTCTCTATGCCATTTATGAACTTTCTGCTTTCCCTGAGGAGACTTAAAGATGGGAGGCTGGCCTACAAGACTGGCCCCTCCTCAGGTGACAAACTTCATTTGCAAGAGGTGGAATTCACACACTCTCCCGATAAGAAAATAAATATACCAACACCTGGCAAGTTACCACCATTGCCTCGTTGTCCATTTTTTCCCTATAGGATCTTGATACTTGTTTATTGTTACCCTACTACACAACCTCACTTCCTGATTGGTTTGTGAAGTGTTTGGTTGCAAATTCCCAGTTGTCTATTCCCTTGGTAAAGGGCACTGGCTGAAACTGAGCTAGCCAATCATCAGACCAGCCTCTCCCTATCAGACCAAATGTTGGGACGTTGACCTAAATGTTTGTGGAGGCTCTCCGTCCTCCGAGCCATGGTTGTCCCAAGAGGCAGCTGGACTTTCTTGTTCTTCTTCGAAGACGTTTTGCTTCTCATCCAAGAAGCCTCTTCGGCTCTCATCGACAAGACACAATACTACCGTCTCTACCCTGGGGAAGACACGCCATGCATCTATGGACGCCCCAAAACCCACAAAGAGGGGACACCACACAGACCAATCGTCAGCAGCAGCAGCAACTCGGTCACCTCCAACACTGCAAAGACCTCCAGCCACCTTATTAGCTCCTCTAGTTGGCAACGCCACCCTGAGCGGAAGAAGCTCCTTGGAATGAGAAGGGAAACGTCTTCAGAGGGAAAAACGAGGCAGTCCAGTGGCCTCCTGGAAAAAGCCCCCTTGGGATGATGTGGAACTAAGCAAGAAAAACACACAATCCACCACAGTCAGCTAAACACCCCCAAACCCAGACTGGCTTCACACCTCGCTGTGTCACGAGCTCCCAGTTAATAGTCTTCTTTCTAAAGGGTGATCACCATTGTTGAGATTTGCTAATTATGTTTAATAATGTTTTGTTAAGGAAAAAATATACAACTTGAAATTCAAAAAGTACTTACTTTTGTTTTTCTTATTTCTTGAATATAAAAGTAATCTCCAAAAGTAATCCTGCTGGTTTTAATTAATTTTTGAAGTTTCTGTTTTTTCTATTTTTAAAAAAATTCTGCAACTTTTTTTTTTTTTTAGTTCTTTGGATGCCTTGTGGTAGAAAAGTGAATACAAATATTCTAGACAAATATTTCCTTACAGAGTTGTATGAAAGGAGGAACGTCTATTATTCTCCTTCCTCTCTCACCCCTATCCAAAGCACTTTTGTCTGCATTCAAGAAACATCGCGAGAATAGTCTACACTTCAGAAACAAATACTAATTTAGGAAACATCAGGAAAATAATTTATAGATTCTTCCCAAACAAATAGGCCAACAGGCAGCTCAAACAATGAGTGCCTGGAAACACAAATATAAATTAATCAAGCAGAGTAGAACATAAATCCCTGGGTTTCCCCCTTCATTTCTGAGATATGGTTTGCACGACATGTCATGTATACGTCAAAAATTCAAGGTCTCAATGCAAGTGAACATGTTGCAACATTAACCACACTTACTGCAATATAATAAACTTTAGCTTTTTCCACCAACTTCCAGTTCTTCTCCACATCGAGGTGTTTCTCCTTCTTATAGCAATTAGCAGCAGCCAAGTTAGCAACCAGAGACCTAAAAAAAAAATATTATTAAAACAGCTTTCTAATCCCCTCTTAGAATATCTACAATTTGCCTATTACCCCTTAATTATTTAATCAACAAATGTACTGAACCTCACCCGAGATCATGCCATGTACTCTTAAGATGCTACCCGACCTTTCAGCTCTGCGCTCCCAATTTTTCAAATAATATATGCAAGCATTAGCAGGCTGAGTAGCAGGAGCTGCACACTCATCCCAGTGTGTTGTATTTAATTGTTGTTTTCTCTAATAGTCAACTTGGGTGGCTGAGCACTTAATACTGTATGGAGGAGAAATAAGATACCCCAAAGAACCTAATGACTGATACACTTGAGGAAATAGAAAGGATTATTCAATTAAAAGTGGAAAAGGCATTAAAACATCAAATAGCCTGACTAGTTTGCTTCCAGAATATAAAGGATATATAGAGGATACAAAGGGGGGGGGGAATCCATGGAAAAGAATCTAGATAGTGGATCTTCCCTCCTTGTGATCTTCAGGAATCTTTCAATAGGAAGGAGGGGTTAAGAATGCATTTTTGTGTTTTCCGTTTTTTACATTCTGCCCCATCCTGCACTCATTTAATTATAAAAGGGTAGCAGGGACGGGGTGTGTGGGTGTGTGTGTGGGTGTGATGTTGTATGATTATGACATCCAATGCAAAATGATACAAACGCAAAGGTTCGTGTTATTTGCATCAGGATACACACAATGACACTTTGATGTCATCATGGTTTCACCAGCAGGCAATGAGTCTGCCCCAAACTGGTTTTCTACCTACAGCAGAGAAAGGATGGGGGGGGGGAAGAAGGGGGAAAGAAGCAAAAAGGAATTATTCTCCCCACTTTCTCTTTTGTTAGACATTGGGGAATACACTGCACAATTTTGTTACTTGATTAATAGGCCTGTAGCAGGGGACAGAACAAAGATGACCTTGAAACAATTATAAAGAGTTGGATATAATACTTATATGGAAGATGACAAGGAAATGCTAAAATTATAGGTTAGATTAGGAAGATTAATGCAGGCAATAAAAAAAAACACTAAAAAGAAACCTCACCATGTCCATCAGCATACTACAAAATTTTTTGGTCACCATACTACAAAAAAGATGTTGAGACCTTGGAAAAAGTTCAGAGAAGAACAACTAAGATGATTAAAACATCTGGAGACAAAAACATACGAAGAACGGCTGCAGGACTTGGATTTGGCTAGTCTAAAGAAAAAAAGAAATAGGGGTGACATGATAGCAGTCTTCCAGTATTTGAGGGGCTGCTACAAAGAAGAGGGGGCCACGTTATTCTCCGAAGCACCAGAGGGCAGGACAAGAAACAATGGTTGGAAGCTGGTCAAAGAGAGAAGCAACCTGGAATTAAGGAGAAACTTCCTCACAGTGAGGACAATTAACCAGTGGAACAGTTTGCCTCCAGAAATTGTGGGCGCTCCATCACTGGAGGTTTTTAAGAAGAGGCCAGACAGTCACTTATCTAAAATGGTATAGGTTCTCCTGCTCGAGCAGGGGGCTGGACTAGAAGACCTCCAAGGTCCCTTCCAGCTCTTCTCTTCTCTTCTCTTCCCTTCCATTCCATTATACAATCTATTCTATTCTATTCTATTCTATTCTATTCTATTCTATTCTATTCTATTCTATTCTATTCCATTCCATTCCATTCCATTAAATTCCATTCCATTCCATTCTACAATCTATTCTGTTCTGTTCTGTTCTGTTCTGTTCTGTTCTGTCAGAAGGAGTGATGTTCTACTCAAGGCAGCTGCCTTTGTTTAATGCCCTGAGCCTTATGCCTTAAAAAGAGATATACAAAGTAAGTCTTCTCTTCCATATCCTGGCAGAAAATTTCTTCCAGCTCTTTTCACTAACATATTGTCCTATTTGTGCACTTATACCAATGCAGTTTAGACCAGGGCTGGGTCTCCAAACCTGGCAATTTTAAGACTTCTGGACTTCAAATCCCAGAATCCCATTCCATGCTGGCTGGGGAATTCTGGAAGTTGAAGTCCACAAGTCTTAAAGATGCCAAGTTTGGAGACCCCCCCCCCCTTGGTTTACACTGTTAAGCCAGAGATAGATTTTAGTCTACAATGAACATTTAAAAATAAACGTAATTCAAATGAAAAAGGCCTGGTTGGTATGGAGGTGTGGTACAATTTGTTATCTTGAGCGTATTAATAAGAAAAATTATCAAAGATCCTGGTGCCTTCTGTCAAAACGGAACACATTAAATACAAGCAAGGTTTTCATCTTCTATGATCAGAATTATCTAAATCCCTACAGACATTTTTTATCTTTTATCAACGTTCTTACTTTGCAAATTTTCAAACCTGAAATCTGCCCCACGGCTGTTCCACTAAAGATATAAACTCTTCCCCAAACAAGGAGAGAAGGCCCACCTTTTGAAAATGGCTTCAAAATGGATGTATAAAAATAGCAGAGATAATGGGGAAAGTATTGTTACCCTTATTTTATAATCACAGCTCTTTTTCACAACTGAACAGTCAGCCCTAACTGCAGAGTTAATTTAATCATGGAAAGTGCAGGGAAGTACAAAAACAAATGGAAATGGATTTGTTCTTTTGAAATGTGGCGTAGAGAGCAAAGACATAATTCATAGTGTCAACAGCAAGGAAGTTAAGGGGAAACATTGTATAATTGCAATTTCTAAATTGAAATCGTTCAATAAACTTGAATGTCAAAATCAGCTATCAATTGTACACAATCCCTGGGACATTCCTCAAATAGAATTAATAAGATGGTTTTTTTAAAAAGCACCTTTGACAAAACTAGATATATGCCTTTCTTTTATTCTAACAAATTCATACTGTTTTCAAAACCATCTAAAACTCTGGCCTATCAATAGCCAAGAATCCCAATTCGTATCTTTTAGGGCCACCAACCCTGAGCAGAAAGATAATCATCTCCTTCTCTTCACCCCTTGGACAAAAAGGTTTTGGGTAATCAAATATCCCAGGACAGGTAGAATATTCTATGTTTAAAAATTCCTGTTAGCCACCCAGAGTTTCATTTGTGGGATGGGGAGCCATATAAATCCATTTAAATAAATAAACTTTGCCCCTGTCCTCTCTGTAATTCACAGCCACATCCTTTCTCCACAATAATAGTATTTTTCTTAACCATTTTTAGAGTACTGGTGCCGCTTTTCATATTTTTACTCATCTGCAGCTGTTCACTCCTCTTGTAAATATAGACCAATTTTCTCTCCTAGAACATCCTACTGTAAATAACACTATTATGACACAAAGAGCACATTTGTATGTTGCATTATGCCATGACATATTGAACAAAAAAGCCCCACACTAAATCAGAGGTCCCCAACCTTGGCAACTTTTAAGACTTGTGGACTTCAATTCCCAAGCTGGCTGAGGAATTCTGGGAGTTGAAGTCCACAAGTCTTAAAGTTGCCAAGGTTGGAGACCCCTGCACTAAATCATAAACCGTGGCTGGGGTCATCTGCCACACGGAACCCAAATCAAGCCAAGCCCAAGGCGGGTTTATGCCGTATGTGGACCCAGCCAAAAGGGCGAGAGACTCGAATTGGGGATCTGATTTGCTGGCCATCTCTACCGCTTCTTCTCAGCAATTGTCTCCACAGGAGGCAGTCACCAGAAAGACCAAGGGGAGGGCCCCATTTGGTGGGTTGCAAGCCCCTAATAAGATATGGAAACCGTATTTCCCCAAATGGAAACGGGGCGGTGATCAGTGCCTTCCTGATGTGGCCCGTCAGATCGAGGGGTGGCCTCTGCCCCCCTGCAAGCCACGACACAACTGGGCTTCCCACGTCTTCTGCTCCTTTTCCCCAAGTGGGGGGGGCTCCTCAGGGGAAGGGGGCCCACCTGTTATCGCTGGTGATGCAGGCAGCGCAGGTCCCCGTCGGTTCCTCGCTTTGTTCATAGTAGTGAGCGTCCACGTGGGCCTCTTCCGTTTTCCTTTTCAGGATCTCCCCAAATTTATCGGTTCCAATGCAGCCAAAAAAGGTCGCAGCTTTGTAGGGGAACTGGATCATCCACTGCAATTAAAGCAGAAAGGGGGGGGGGAACCAAAAAGGTTTGCCATTACATCTAGATTTCTGTCACACTGCATGGCGGGTTAACTGTTTTAAAGGCAAAACTATACTGAACAATTAACACTTTAACATCAAACCCAATAGATAAGATCTTTAGCGTAAGTTACGTCCTGATGGATGGCTTTGGAATTATTTAAATCTTTAGACTGTCGAAAGAAACAAAAATGGATGTGTTTTAGGAAAACAGTTATATAGTTTATTACCAATTTTATATGAAACCAATAATTTGCTGGCTGAGGAATTCTGGGAGCTGAAGTCTGCAAGTCTTAAAATGGTCAAGGTTGCAGACCCCTGCCCTGTGCCATTCCGGACAAATGGCTGTCCAGTCTCTTTTTAAAAACCTCCAGTGTTGAAGCACCCACAACTTCTAAAGGCAAGCCGTTCTGCTGGTTAATTGTTACTGATTAAATCTGATAACTAATGATTTTAATATCTTGTGTTCAAATAGAATATAAATCTGAGGTAAGTTGGCTGAAGCTACACAGAATTCATTATCAAAGAATGCTGAATGGGTTTTTCTAATTCCTTTGAGGACTTTTGACTCAAGTGAGTATTGAACTGGGAATTGTCACCAGAGGGGGTTGTATATAATAATTTATTACAGCTGTTCCAACACAATGTAGAAAGTTTTTGATTGGTAAAAAATAACCTTAAATGTATAGTGTAATGTGTTTTTGTTTTAATAGCCCATTGTTGGTACCTTGAGGTGGGTTTAGAGAGAAATTCATGCACCAGTTAACCAATTTCACTCACTGTTCACATTACAACCTGTATATTTTTTATGCTCTCAGGAGAATCTTCTTTACCACAGGAGTTGTAAAGAATCCTGAATCCTTTGATTACAGCACAGATCTTGGCTCTTATCTGGGGTGTTACTTAAAGGTGTTTTGCAGACTTACTGTAAAGGCTTGCTAAATTGGTTTGATAAATTGATACACGGTATTTCAAGATATAGTACAGATAATAATATACTCTTTTTTATAATAAATTCAACAGTTTAGTTTTTTTTAAAAATGGAAAATCTGAACAAAAAGCTTTAGAGAGCATTAAAATGATCTGTGTCATAAATGATCTATGTTACCCATAGCTAACTTTAAAACTATAATTAAAAAATTATCATCCTAAGTTCCTAAGCAAAGAAAGTGCTAAATGAGTTACCACAGGGATATGGAATAAACTGACCTAGAGTTGAACTTGGCCGTTATTTTCTCAGTGGTTAGGAAATATATAAAGGCCAATCTTTTTAATTGTTTGATGTAAATTATATTTTATCATTAATTTTAATTTGTGTTTTTAACTTCCAATATTCTATTTTTGATTTTAACATTTTATTAGCTATGGAATATTTGCCGTATCAAAAGGATGGAGTAAAATCAAACCAAACCTGGAACCGTACAACATTTTGTGATTCTTGGACAAAATATATGGGATTTTCTTTAAATTTAAAGATGATAAAGAATTGGGCAGAACAACTAATTCTGTAAAAGGCAGAAACAAAATTCTTAATGATCTTGATAGGTTGGGAAATGAGCTAACATAGCAAAATTAAATTTAAGAACAGTGGCTCCCAACCTTTTTCTATACCCCGCACCCCTAGAACACTTCTCATATATTCTCGCACTCCTTACAAAAGCTCAAAATAACAACAACGAATCATGCATATACACTATAATTTTGAAAACCCAAGTTTCCACACCCCCTGAATATTGTTGAGCACCCACGGTTGGGAACCGCTGAGATAGAGGATCCCTGGTTTAGCCTCTGTATTTTGTGAAAATTATCTTGGAATAGCACCTGATCCACAACAAATATTTGGCAAAATGTGACACTTGCCTGCTGACCCAACTCCTGGACAAAGAAGAGAGGGCAGGTCATAGAACAGGAGGTTCTAGCTGAGTGGTAGAAAAAAAATCTTCTAAATAGTAAGAGCGGTGGAACCCCTGAGTTAGAGTTCCGCCTTCCCTGGATGGGTCCAGGCAGACACTGGAAAGTATCTGGGACACTTTAATTCAGATTTCTGTACTCAGCAAGCTGTGGGCTCCTCTCAACATTGAGACTTTATGAATCCTTGTTTCTTTAAACTAAGATAGTTGAGAATCCATACATTTATTTTATTTTATGTTATTTTATTGACTTATTAAATTTATATGCTGCCCATTTCACTATCCAAAATGACTCTGGGCATCATTCCTGAGCAATTATATATGTTAAGGAGATTAACTATCGAGATTTGGTCCACCATGTCTGGATTGCAATAATCCAGACAACCACTTGATGGCAACAAAGAAATTGTGTTCATCCAGATGTTTGCAGTTCTGATACAGGATCCCTACAGAAGATTAGATATAATAGAAAAAAACAGCACTATATGAATGCATGCTAAGTACTCGAGATAAATCCAATGTGGCTTATGTTTACTTTGAAGATCTTTTCCATCTCATTTACAAGTTATTTTTTTCCGTTAAATTTTATGCTATGACATCTGAATGATAACAAAATGGTATCAGTGGGAATTTTCCTTATCTGTTAGATAAAGTTCTGAACTGCAAGCAGACGCTGTCTCTCAACTGATTATATACAACACGGTTTGAACCAGGTGGCAAAGTTTAAATTAAAATTTATCGACTATGATGAGCTGTGAAAGCCTCCCTCAACTGCCTTTTCCTTCAAGGGGTGCATGATCAAAGCCACCGAGATTTGGGCAAAGTCGCACGGCTGCTTATCCAGCCTAAAACAGGCTGTCATCATTCTCTCACATCTCAAATGCAGAGCTGGCCACGAAGGAGGGCGTGCTTCCTCTTTTCCAAGATCATGAAAGAAATATACATGGCAGATCGTTTTAGCCAGAAGGAATTCAGTCTGGGACATGACATGCGAACTACCTCTGCTTTTTAATCGTTCTTTCAATCTATTTATCATCATGGACAATTATACTCAGAAACCAAATATTGAGACTCCACAAACGAGGTTTTGCAATGTTAAGAATGAGATATAGTTCAGCTGTTCTATGATTTCCTTGACGGCTAACTTGGTTTGCCACAATATTAGAATATCATTGCTAATTCAAGTCATGTCACACGTGCATTTCATACATTTATTCTGACACCAGCTTCTTAAGGGATTTTTCTACAGCCCTGTTTGTTTTCCCTCTAACCAAGCATAACTCCCTTCATTTCTGAATCTCCACAGAGGTGACCAAAGGCAGTTTCCTACTGAATTATCAATTGTTTATCAAAATTTACCTTAAAAATTTCTAAACACAAATGTTCTAAAAGGGGGGACGGAAACTACATACTGGATTTCCCCCCCCCCCCAATGTTCATAATGTAAGTGGGGGGGGGAAGGAGAATTCATCACAAGAGTAAATTTGTATGCCAGCAAGAAAACAACCAGCAGTTATGTCAGTCTATATAGGATTGATTTTGCTGCCTATATTTAACCTATATTAATTTCTGGTCCCTTTATGAAGATGCAACTGATACTTTATTTGCATGAAAAGTCATTCAGAGAAAAATGCAATTATATATTCAAGTTTAAAGTTAAGAAAACATGTTCAGGCACTTCATAATTTCTGCCACATGAAGTCTCAACGTTATTGTAGAGTTAAAGCAAAAACGCATTTGGTAATTTTTTTTGCTAAGTAGTCTGCTAATATGTTAATGATATCATTACATGATTTTATAAGTATAACAACATGTAATTTATTTATTCTCCATAGAAGCAGAGGAAAGGTGCAGAATGTGAGGCAGTCAAGATGATAAAATGACATTTAATGCAAATTTATTTCTGCAATATACCATGTTAAAAACAAAGTAGCTTCAGGCATCGCACGAATGAAAAATACTAACAAATTAGAATGTCAGAAGCAAAATTAAAGGAGGAAATTGATGGTTCTATTTACATGGCATTAAAAGGAGACCTCACTGTAACATTTACCACCCCAACCATTACAGGGATTAACATGGCAACACAAGAAGCAGCCCCTCACAGTCTAAATTTGATTGAAAAATTAAAACCTATGAAAATGCAATCACTATTAATCAAGCTCGTATCTTGGAAAGAAGCTGATTTTATCTACCAACAGCCATCGTTCTTTCTTTCTTTCTTTCTTTCTTTGATTTCATGCCACTTACAACTGTGGTCTGCTCTTTTCTGAATCTGCAACTATGGGAAAATAATTATGTACGGGGAAAAATCCATGTAAGACACAAATGCAGTGGCTAAGAAATTATTATTACATTTATCTCTCGTCTTTATGTGGGAAAGAATCATTGCAGCTGGGCTCAAACTTAGGTAATAGAATAGGAAATTAAAAAAAAATAGCGGGCAGGAAGTACAGTATTAGCAATGCTCAGTCTTGAGTTATGCAGTATATTAAAAAAGTGCATAAAAAACCCAATAATATACTAACCGTGCTTAGAAGAATTATTTTTATGATAAATACTTTATTTATATCTTGCTTTTTCTCTCAGAGGCAACCTACAGAGACATCTCCTCACATGTCTTCCCTGAAACACGCTGCCCACACGTGCTATTCTGTTCCATGCGAAGCGTGAGGGATGTGGAGACGGTCCGTCCTGTTTCTCTGTAAGTCAGGACAGACGGTGTGGGGCCACGTGGACCAGCTCAGGGCTAACCAGCCAAAACCTCAAGAGAGCAGCCCCGCAGGTGGAGGGCTCCCCAGTCCAGGCCCCACCTCCCAAGGGGCACCCATCCATATTTTTAACCCCAGCGCCCACTTGCTGTCCCAGGCGAGGAGGGCTGTCTGCCACTTTGGTCTGGCAAACCGGCCATCTCTGATTTTGGACAGGGATGGGCTGCTCTCTGGGTCCTACGCTAGCAACTAAAGGCTGGAATAGGGTTCAGGTGGTTCTCAACTTACGACCAATCTTTTAGTTCAAAGTTACAATGGCACTGAGAAAAGTGACTTATGGCTGCTTTTC